GGTTCACAAAGCAGTCGATCCAGAGAGTTGCCCCAATCTAGGGGTGAAAGATTTTAAAGAATGCGTATTACATAAGAACGCATCTGCATAAAAGTAAATAATTCAAACTTCATGAATAGGAAGCTTGTCGAGACAGCTGCAAAGGTCAACAGCTTATTGTTAGACATTGATAGAAGAGATCTTACTGAGAGTCCTTGTGATGAACATTTTATAAAAAGATGATTTCTGGAAGCACTGAGAAAGTCTAACATGCCTATTCACAAAAGGGAGAAGAGTTTGGAGAAGGCAGGAGAAACGAACAATCTAGGACAACATAGCTGAACTGGAAAGTGAGCTGAATTAGAGAATGTTTCTAAATCAGCTCTGTTGTCCTAGATTGTTCACTTCTCCTGCCTTCTCCAAACTCTTCACCATTTTGTGAATAACCCTGTAAGTTTCCAAAAGGGATTTTTTTTTAGCAAAATATTTTTTCACAGCTAAATCATTTTGGTTTTATACAGATAATAATTTATATTTCTTTTCTAAGCCAACATTGTACTAGGTGCTCTGAATTTACCACATATTTCCTACTTAAATCTGCCTGAAGGGCTTTCACAGTAAATGTATGAAAAAATTAATCCTAGAAAAACTGCAGCATTAAATACTTTCTTATATAAAACTTTTGAAGTGGAAAATTGGAAGGCTGATTAAAAGCAAATCTATCTTTATAAATGTACTAATGAGAACTAAATAAATAGAAAGGATTATTAGGCCACAAAACTGCCTGTGTACTTCTGTGTACTTGTTCCAGCTCAGGCAACAGTGTGCAAATGATCTGGACTGCACTGGAAGATGGATCTAAGAATCCAGCTCTTCTATGATCCTCTGCCTCGCTTATATGCAACGACACCAGATAATTAGACTCTCCTTTTATTTTTTTAAAAAAAAATATTTTTTAGCCATTATTTTTGAAGTTCTTAGAAAATCACTACAACTTTTTAAAAGTGCATTCTTAAACATCAGTTTAAAGTGAACCTGGCAACATTACACAATACAGTAAGACAATATCCATAAAGATTACATTGTACTTCCTGCCCGGCCAGTTTCTTATTCTCCTATTAGAAAGTATCCAATCCTAAAACAATATGATTCACTACTAGCTGCTTTTTATTGCTAAATCGTGGAAATAGTTCATAGTGAGAAGGACATCTTATGGATGTCTATGTTGATATCTAACTATTCCCTAGTATGCTTCACTTAAGGTATTACTTTAGCAAGGGCAGGGTACCTAAAGGACCAACAAGACAGACAGCAAACATAAAGCAAAGGACTATGCCTTTACACAATTCAACAAGACAACATAACATCTGTAGGTATACATAATTACTCCAACCCGTCTGAGTTCCCATTCCCACTCCGACATCCACTAATGCCTATAGATCACTTTAGCGTTCCATGACATCCAGCTATTTGGTCAGATTGGGCTGGAAACCCCACCCCATTTTCCCCTCTAATGTTGGTATCGATCTTATGTAAGCCATCCATGGATCCCAGGTAAGTTCAAACTGTGCCACTTTATCCAGGAGAATACTCTCTAGCTTTTCATGAGTCATAATCCAGGACAGTTTAATCCTTACCTGTCTTAAGGACACCTTGGATGTCTCCCAGGCCTTGGCAATAGCTATTTTAGCTGCCAGCAACATAAAAGCTATCAGTCTCTTGCAATGTCTAGAGGTTCCAGGAACAGTGTCATTAAGCAGGACACACCCAGGGTCCCTAGGGACCCGTACACCCGTAACCTTAAATATTAAGTTAAAGATTTTTCTCCAAAATCCACGGATAGGAGGGCATGACCACCATATGTGGTACATGGTGCCCTCGAGTCCACACTCCCGGAAACATAAAGATGGTGCTCCCGGGTACATGCGGGCAATTCTGGAGGGCAACAGGTACCACCTGGAGAAGACCTTCTCCAGGTGGTAGCCTCCACCAATGACACGTTTAGCAGACCCCTAGTTGTTACCCTAGAACAACGACTCAATACCTCCTCAGAAACCACCGCATTCATATCCTGTTCCCATAACAACATGTATGACTGTTTAGGGGAGGATTCTATCAGCATGGAATAGAGAAGGGAAATAGCCCCTCTCTGATTTGTAGACTGAAGGCACCATTGTTCATAAGGACTAAGGCGACTGCCAGAGTCGCTCCATACTAATATAGTACCCAAAAAGTGGGTAATCTGATAGTACCAAAACAACTCTGACAGGGGCATGCCCAAGTGCTCCCTGCAATATTTCAAAGTCAGAGGTTTCCCCATCTTGAAGTATTGACCAATTCTATATAATCCCTTGTCCAGCCACCATGAAAATGATTTGGGATTATTTTTATTAGTGTATGTTTTGTGTATGTTTTGATGAAAACAATAAAACTTTTGAAGTAAAGTGGACCTGGCAGTCATTTCAACTTAGTCCTGTCCAAGGGCAGAAGTTCTGGTGTTTAAAAAGGTAGGTCCATGCTGCGTATTGCGCCAAGAGTCAGCTTAGGGTCAATGCTGGGGTTTAAAGTGACCTTGTGCACAATATCAATATCAAAATAAACCAGTTACCTGAAAAGAAGACTGTAAATACTTACAGGTCCTGCTGCCTGCACTGCCGAATGCTTCTCCATTGCTGAAGAATTGTTCCCCGCAACACTCACAGGGTTATTCACAAAAGGGTAAAGAGTTTGGAGAAGGCCGGAGAAGTGAACAATCTAGGCTGAAATAGCGGATTTGGCAAAATTCTCCAATTCAGTTCACTTTCAAGTTCAGCCATCTTGTCTTAGATTGTTCACTTCTGACAACTTCCTCAAACTCTTCACCCTGTCAGTGTTTCCTCTTGCTGACTTTCGTATATCTATGGGACATAGAAGTGACGTGAAGTTCGGTAGGAGGAACCAGTGGGCGCTGCAGGGGACAAAAGAGGTTGCCACTCCTAAAAGAGTCAGTTTCCCAGAAGATTATGGGGAATGATTCCTCATCAACAGAGTGGCGTTTAGTGGTGTTGGCACTACCAGGGTCGCAGCGGTCGCAATTGCGACCGGACCCTGGCGTTCCGCCTGTTGGGGGGGGGGGGGGGGAGGGGGGGGGGGGGGGCCCACATCAATACATTATAATAAAAGTCAGCTATGTACATCCGGTATCAGGAAGCCGGGCAGCGCGTCATTACAGCTGGCCTCGTGAGGTAAGGTTACCTTACCTTAGTATGTGCAGACTGTCACCCCCGGGGCCTCTCCAGCGAGAACTCGGCCTTCCTCCAGTACCCAGCCGGAGCCGTCTGGCCGGCCAATCAGGAAGCCGGGCGTCGTGTAATGACGCGACGCCCTGCTTTCTGATTGGCCGGGAAGCTGGCTTCATGCTCCCTTGTCATCTCATCAGCACTAAAGTTTTAAACTGAAACGGCTGCCTGAGGTCCTGCGCTTGCTGGGGACCTCGGCAGCCTTCCTGTTAACCATGCGGTGCCATGGTGGTGGAGGTCTGGGGGGGGCCTTCATGGTTTTTTGCACCGGGGCCCTGAAGGTTCTTGTTACGCCACTGGGTGTCGGTATTAGGAGAGATATTAACAGTATTCTTTAAAGGCAACAGGTTTATTTGGAAATTGACAACAGGTTTGCTTCAAAGTTTAAGTGTACCATTGGCCTTTTTAAATGTAGCAATCTGAATCTTCCAATGCTACTCGTCTCTCTATTTGCAACAATAAATGGCAGTCAGACTTATGGGCCATCTGGAAAACAAGAAAAGCAATAGGGGTAGCAAGGGGCTGGACACAGAATGACCATGAGCCAAAATAGTGGATCATGGTCATGCTGGGAAAGGGTTAAAACCTCGGACATATTGCATTGCTGTGTGTGGCCTCTTTGGAGAAATGTGGATGACAATGTATCACAGAACAGGAAGGGAGTAGAAATTTCTAAGCTATACACTGACCACAATAAAAACTAACCCTCTAATTTAGATGGGCGGAGAAAGGATGGATGGATGGAACACAACACAAGATAGACTACTGAGTTTTTCTGAAAATGTCATTCCTATGTCTGTACATCTTTACATTCATGTGCAGGGGGCCACAGGGGCCTTTACACACAGTGGTCACACAAATCCCAGCCCTGTACATAGGGGAAATGACAAGCTATTTCAACTGCAAAGCTTTAGGATTCACAGACAATAAAAATACTTCCCAACATAACTAGGATATATACAGATCAGTGTTAAATTTGTATGCACACATTTGTATTTTCCTTCGCGCGACTGTTCATTGTAAACTGCGCGTTTGTAGCGCATTTTTTTAATGCATAGTGATGTCTCTGGGACCCAAACTGCGCGACAACCGCCTGCAAATAGCTCCTGCACCTTTTCGGTCGTGCGTCAAACCGCAAAGGTGTGAGCAGCCTTTATTGACTTCAATGTGAATCTGTGTTTTGTGCGATAACGCACGACTCAAACCACGCGATAAATCGCATAGGTACAAGTACCTTTATTCTGCGATACATGACACGTGGCTGTTTTAGCCACGATCATGTTCAGAAGCACAGGCGGAATCTCATCAGGAAACCACGCGATCTGCCCGGCGCGACTGGGGTGCCATTGAAAAATAATGGCGCCCACAGCGCGATCGGAGCACACCTATACGTCTCCTGACCACGCGGCAATCCGCACGTAATTGCGCACGATTGCCACGCAGTGGGGTGTTGCATAGGTGTGCACCGGCCCTAAAAGTTGTAACCCAGCCACACACGTGATACAGTCAATCTCCCAGCTATTATATACAGACAACCACAAAACACGTGGCTATCTGAACACTCGAGCAGCGAATGCACGTGATTTGGACTTTTTGGCTTTGATTTTGAAATTGCATTTGTGGAGCTAGATGGTGACGACAGGGCCAACCAAGGTTAAAATTTTGGCCGTGTATGGTCAGCTTTAGACTACATTAATATGAGTACTTAATTCGTAGCCTAGAGTTAGAAGAAAGAATACTTACCATACTTGAATCAATGACTTGTCCTTGTCCTGATCTACTGCGTTCGAAGAGAGACAGGACAATGCCCAGTGCACATATGTAGCTACCGCCTGCAAAGTCTGCCAGGAGATTGAGGGGGAAGGTTGGTGCCTCTTGCTTCTTTCCTAGTTTCGACAACATACCTAAAAGGAAATGAGAAAGCATTTTACACACATAAAAAAAACAAAAAGTAACATGTCAGTTTCAGTAATATTGCAATATTATCAAAGGATCATTCCTTTCAAAACTGAAAACTCAGTTTGGCTGAAATATATTAGTGTGTTCCATCTCCTCTCAACTTCTAAAAAGTGACACTGGTGAGCAGATCTTCCTTTAAAAGATACCTCTGCTGTGCTATGGCTTATGCCTCCTGGATCCTAGTGAAGAATAATATCAAAGTCCTGGAAAATATATTTTTGAAATAAAAACAAAAGCTGTGTCTCTGAATTGATCTAAACCTGATTAGCGGAAAAAACGGCCCATCAGGTTGCAGAGGATCCCAGGTCACAGGAAAGAATGTCTCAGGAGGTCATCGATTTTGTTGATTGATTTTTTTTTTAGATACCATATAAAACGCATTTATATGATTTTTTTTCACCACTAATCTGTTCCACGATTTTGGAGTTTTACACAGCTGAACTGGATTTGGGCCAACCCAGAGCAATTGAGTGCTAAAACCTCTCACCCGGGACCTGCATGGAGACAAATGCATTCTCCATATAAGTATTCATAGGGTTGCACACACCACATGTGTGGTACCCTGCAGCCTAACCATATGTGAGATCTCCACACTGATTTCTTCCACAACTACATTCATTGCTTTGCACTGACATCACAACACCGGAAGGGCTTTATCGCTGTACGAGTCTGCAAGATGGACAGTGTCAAGCAACCTGAACCTGATGACACTGGTAGAACACCAGTAGATATAACTTGGAGTGGACAATATCCTATGCTCTACAGAGAGCTAGATGACAAGGTTTCTCAAAATTATAAGCTTTAAACAAATGCAAGCACTCCCGTTTACATAACACCTAAGTAACACGGATTCAAAAATGTATTTATATCCCAAATTTGCATTGCACTGGCATATTACACATCACTTTAAATAGTACACAGAACCATTCCCATCAATGCTCTAAAGGAGCTCCCAATCAATTGTCTCCAGATACGCTAGGGCCAGTGTGGGAGGGAGTCAGTCAATGAACCTACCATTATGCTTTTGAGATTGTGGGAGAAATCCCACACAGACATTCGGAGGACATACAAACTCCAAGAAGACAGTCACATATGCCAAGCTGGGGTACAAACAGGATGGTGAGCTGCAATGCAAGAAAGCTAGCCACTGATGTTAAATGTATAGGATGTATTCCCCTTCTCCTTCAATAAACTACCTACCTACTCCCCAGGTCCAGCAGTCCAAAGGACGTCTGAACTCCTTGTAGGAATAGTTAAATTAGACTTGCAGATACCAATCTGATGGCAGACGCAAAGATGCAGAGCTGCACTTACAATTAAATCGCAATTTACATAAAAAGAGTTAATAAATGTAGCCCTTTCATAAGTCAAGGACTAGCTATATAAAAAGTTAGTGAAAGTAGGCACTTCCTTTACAGCACAAATGTTCAATTGCTACGCTCTATACGCTTCTATACATTCTGTTACAGTAAGCATAAAAGACTTTTAATCTTTGCAAAATGTGTGGTTAGTATAGATTTTTCTAAGTCAATCCATTAGAATGCATAATGCATGAGTTCATATAATAATGGTAATACAAATTTCCCCATGCTCTATTAAGCATGCACACACATTGTACACTGTTATTTGACATTTTATCTACTTTTCTTACTATACACATGGGCAGGTTCCATGGCATTCTCAAGTCTTTTCACCTTTATTAATTTATTTAGCGTGTCACATTGCTTTGCTTAGAGATAGGTTTAATGCACCTTGGCAAAAATAAATATGAAAAGTCTCAGCAGGTGTAATATTGTTGGTGCATATAATCATAACTAGGGCTGCAGCTAACAATTATTTTCATAATTGATTTGTCGCCTGATTATTTTTTTTAACTAATCAATTGGTTGCATTAAGAGTCTCTCTCTCTCTCAATCGATTATGGAAATAACCGGGCAACTAATCGATTATGAAAATAATCGTTAGCTGCAGCCCTAGAGCCTAAAAACACAAACAAAACACAGTTTGTCTACATTTTACCCCGGTGCTCACCAGTGCAATGCTTTGGAGTATACTGGGCCCGCAGACAACAATAGTATTTGCATGGGGCCTTGATGACCAAAGCAGATCAACACAGCTTAACAAGCACTTAAAGGAGAACTATGAGATGAGTGATTTCCACTCACCTCATAGTTCTAGCCGACCTGTGACAATGAGACTGTCACAGGTCGGCTCAGTAGATCGGGAGGTGAGCGAACACATACCGGGTTTGCTCACCTCTCGATCCTGTCACGGCTCTCTGCCGTGACAGGGGGAGGGGCTGGATTCCCCTCTCCCCGCTCCGATCTGCCAGCGCTGACTGGCAGAACGAACGGGGGAGGGGGCGGGTACAGCTGGCTCTGCCTCTAGATAGGCAGAGCCAGCTGTCACTCATGCAGCTAGGCGGATCCCGACGTCGCAGTATACTGAGCTTAGGGTAACGGGAGGACGCTAGTTTGTGTCCTCCCGTTACCCTAAGCAAAACTATGGGGAAAAACACTGACCCCATAGTTCTCCTTTAAGTCCTCATTCACACGACTAACAGCCGGCCCGTACAGATCCGTATGGCGTGCATGACCATATCGGGCCGCTCCCGGGAAAGACAGGTGCTGTGTTTGAGTGCACGCAGCAGCCTGTTTTCTCTATGGGAGTACCCGGCCGTACGCCACCGTACGCTCATCCGAACTGCACGTCCATGCGGGTGTCCGTCCTGTCTATGTACGAGTACGGACACCCGCATGGACCTGCAGTTCGGGTGAGCGCACGGCCGCGTACTCCCATAGAGAAGAACAGGCAATCACACGCAGCACCTGTCCTTCCCGGGAACAGCCCAATACGGATCTGTACGTACACCATGGGATGTCAGACAGAGCTGTTCGATTAGGGATGAGTGGCTGCGATGTGTCATTCCATACTGTGTGCAAAATGCAGTTTGATCAACTGATCTCTGTAAACAAAAGGTCATGTACAACAGACTGCTAAATAGTCTCTAAAGGACAAGTGGAATGAAAAATAATTCAGAAATATTTATGTTAAATTTATGCAGAAATATGTAAAACAACATACAATATTTTACTGAACTGTGCAACCTGTGCTCAAAAAAAGCAAGCAGTGATCTACTCACCAGTACTGATCCCCAGAAAGGATAAAGGCAAAAGCAAAGATATCTTTGCACTGCAGGTCCTCAGGTACAGATTCCTTTCCAGCAAGAACTGTGAGCACCACGGTAGTGACATCAGCAAATCTCACTTCATTTACAGTGAGATTAGCAGGCAGTGCCTTAGATGATCTCACACTGCATCTGCAGAACAAGAGAACCTAGGCACAGCAAGTACACTACCATTTGTCTTCCCTTTTTGAGTTCAGGTTCACTTTAAATGTTTATTTGCACAATAAGCTCAATACAAATAATTTACAAAAACATATAAAACAACAATTTATAAACTTGTAAACCTATTTCACAAAAAATCAAATAAAACAGTCAAAACTGTAAATGGTATCAGTTTTTTTGGTGTATACCTGAGAGAGAGACGTAGTTAATATCGTGACCTGCTGCCTTGGCATACGTTCCAGATTGCCCATATCCAGTCAACCGTGCATAAATGAGCTGTGGATTTTCTTTAAGTATGACATCTGGACCGAGCCCCAGACTTTCCATCACGCCTGTGCATAAGACCACAGATGGATTTATTACAAAATAATATCTGCACCGGAAAGTTTCAGATTATTCTTACAAACACCATATAATAATTAACTTTATAATGCATATGAGGCCCCATTCTCACAAGAAACGTCCGGCACTTACAGCTCCAGGCTGCGTGCACGGCCGTATCGAGCAGCTCCCGGGAAGGACAGGTGCTACGTGTGATTAGTACGCAGCCCCTGTCCTTCTCTATAGGCCGCCCTACGCTCCCCCCAAATGCGGGTGCCCCGGCTCGGACGCAGACAGGATTTATCCTGTCAGCGTACGAGTACGGACACCCGCACCCACACGGACGTGCAGAGTGTACGGCTGTGTATTCCCATAGAGAAGGACAGGAGCTGCATACTAATCACACATAGCACCTGTCCTTTCCGGAAACTGCCCGATACGGCCGGTTTACCTACATTTACCTGTAGCTTTACTGCGTGCTAGTTTTACCTAAAGAAGAACTCTACCGATATATTTGAAATGACAACAAAGTCACCTTTAGAAATGTTTAGTAATGACAATCTACAAACACATACTCCTAGATAATTGCCGGCTTTGTATTCTTTGCATTCCTTATTGTTCTTGTCCTCCACATTCTTCTCACAGTGGTCATTTTTACTAAGGGCAGATTAATCCATCTCACTTTACTTCCTGGAACTCTAGGACATGCGACTAGGACATGTGACCATGCACATCATCTCAGTGGAGAGAGGCTCCAGAGACCAGTCTAAGAGCCCGCCATCTCCGGGGATCGGGTGAGTATAACTTTGTTATTTTTGAACCCAGACAATTTGAACCTAGAATTTGTTTCCCTTGAGTTCTGTTTTAAGCTTTAAAAGGAGAACTATGAGATGAGTGATTTCCACTCATCTCATAGTTCTAGCCGACCTGTGACAATGAGACTGTCACAGGTCGGCTCAGTAGATCGGGAGGTGAGCGAACACATACCAGGTTCGCTCACCTCTCGATCCTGTCACGGCTCTCTGCCGTGACAGGGGGAGGGCTGGATTCCCCTCTCCCCGCTCCGATCTGCCAGCGTTGACTGGCTGAACGGACTGGGGAGGGGGCGGGTACAGCTGGCTCTGCCTCTAGATAGGCAGAGCCAGCTGTCACTCACGCAGCTGGGCGGATCCCGTCATCTACGCCGGGATCCGCTCCGGCTGCGGCGTCTCAGTATACCGCCAGTATACCCTAAGCTCGCGGTATACTGAGCTTAAGGTAACGGGAGGACGCTAGATTGTGTCCTCCCGTTACCCTAAGGAGAACTAAGGGGAAAAACACTGACCCCATAGTTCTCCTTTAATGTTAATGTGACTGTAAAAGTCGTTTCCAATCTTTACAGATCTGCAGCTTTTTATTAAAATAATTCCTGGTGATCCGGTCAAGGTGGTCCTTGTTCAGGCATTTCCTGTTATAGGGTGACAACTGTCTCCCAGTCTATTACTATCAGTAAGCTGGTCCAGAGCAATGATGTGCAGCCAAAGCTGGAGCGTGTGCATGTAGAGATGAAATACCTGAAAGAGGCTGCAGCAGATGAGCAGCACTGAGATGCAAAAAAGGATTTTAAAAAAGACAGACATTGTTTAAGATACACTGAGGGGAATTTATCAAAACTGGAACAGGCAAAATCTGGAGCATATGGTCTTTGCACGTGAATTCCTTTCCTTGCTTCGTATAGGTTCTTTTTCGATGGTTCCGTATGAAGTTTTTTCACCTGAAGCTTGATCTCATAATTTGCTGATTTTTGCAAATTGTCCATCATTCCCTCTCATCAAGGTGAGGAGAAAAAACTTGGAAAATGTGGAAAAACTCGAATCGGGCTGAGACTCGTGGCTGACTCACCAATGTAATTACGGAAACTGCGGAGTGGCTGACTCGCCATTAATGTAAGAAAATGACACGAAATATGATTTTTTATGTCATATTCCTTTTCTCGAAGCATAGGGTGGAAAAGTTTAATAATAGATGATTGTTTTCCGTTGTTGCATAAAGTTCAGAATATGTTTAATTTAAAGTTACAAAATATTACAGGATATGGTATATCTTACAGAATGAGTCTATAAAATGCTTGATGATTACGATACAGCAGAAATCTATAAGAAACGTGGCTTTAGGTAGTAAGTAAAAATAGTCCTAACAGGTGTCTGTCTATTCAATGTGAGTGTGGGTGTGTCTGTGAGATGCTGTGCGTGTGTGTCTGTAGTGTGAGTGAGTGTGTGTCACTTGAAGGGTCATCCCTCATCCTTTTATCCATGCTTTTACTTTAAAATAACCTATGTGATGTTTACCTTAAAAGTATTTCTGATTAGCATAAGGGAGTGCCATACTCTAGTAGCTGAGTCATGTGTTCTCCTTGTATCCCATTTTGGGCATCATAGTGTTCTTTGAACATTCCCAACAACTGTTTCAACTATACTTAGGTCTGCCTGTCAGGCTTACTGATTGATTACCAATTGTAAACTCAAAAATCAGCAGTATAGTAAAAACTGAATCTCCAAACTTGGATAGATTAAAATATAGAAAATCAATCATCATATAAGGTTCACACATACATATTTCAATATATGTGGTTTTATGGTTTTAACAGCAACCAATCGGCTTCTCTCTTTCATTTTCAAATCTTAACTGAACAAACTGAAGAGAGAAGCTGATTTTATCTGAACCTTTCCACGTATCTTTATGTTGTACTTTGTACATTGATTATGTTTGAACAAATGCATTTAGTTAAAACATGTTTTCCCACAGAGAGGGTTGCCACTTCTCCGAAACTGCTGTGGGATTTGGTTAGGGGAACTGTTTAGGTTCTTTAATGTAACAAAAAAACAAGCATTGTGCTATATTATGCATGGATGGCGGTTACAATCCGGTGAGGTTAATGCCAGCAGCTGTACTAACCAGATGGAGATGCAGGGTCTCCGTGACACAAGAGGACATAGCAAAGAAAAGACATTTCAAAAGCATTAAAAATTAAAAGTAATGAAATTGTAAAGAACACACTGCAATCCTCGGATACCCTCTGCAACAGTTTACAGCTGGCAGAACCTAGGAGTACAAAACCAAGAGGCGAGAGTGTGGTCAAAGGCAAGCAAGAGGTCAGGGCAGGCAGCAGACAAGAATCATGATCAGAAACATGCAGAAGGTCAGGGCAAGTGGCAGATTGGAAATGTAGTCAATGGAAAATTAAGTCAGTCATTCACAGAATTTGGAAGTTGGAATCAGGGACAAGGTCACAGAAACAGGAGCCTGGGAACAGAATCACAGTGTGAGGTCTATGATTTGATGAATGTCCTTTAACCTCTTGCCGTCCGCCCGTTAAGAAAAAACGGACGGACGGCAGACTCGCATCAGCGGGTTGCCGTGTCCAGACGGCATTTTTCTCCTGCTCGCGCATGCCCCCTAGCGCGCGCGCACGGGCAAGAAAGACCCGCTCGTTTCTACAACCGTTAACGGCTGTTTTACATACAACCGATCGGCGGCTCTATAGCCGCCGATCGCTTGTATGGCGTGATTTTCGGAGCCCCCCCGTTCGCGAGTGCCACCACTCCCCTCTCCTGACCCCTCACCTTTAATCCCGGGATCTGATAGCCCGTCTGCGGCACGGGACCGGCTCGGGAGGGCGTCAAGAGGAGGAGGGAGGGAGATCAGCTCCTTGCTGTTTTGGGTCACGTCGGGTAAAGAGACACCAAACACTACTGAAAAATGGCCTGGATAGGAAGGGGGTTTAACACCCCGGATGTCAACTGGTTAAATTTCATTTGGTTTTAAAATTGGATTTTGGAAATTAATGGCGTTTCCTGAACCACATCCACTGTTAGAATTTTAAAAATGTATCATCTTGGCTCTTTGATTTTTTTTTTAGTCACTACGGTCAAAAATGATCATTGATTTGACCTCATTAACTATCAGAAAATCAAATGAATGTTCTGACAACGACTATTTTCAAACAAGATTCCCCATCATACTACATTCCCCTCTTTCTGCTTTGCTATACCCTCTCCAGTTCCTTTCCTCTTATCCTCACTTTACCTCATCTTTTATCTCATACCCAGGACCTCCATATCACACCCACTACTCAGCATACAAAGATATTAGAACTTGACCTCTAATATAATTCTAACTCATGATGCCGCCATCTTGTTTTAAAAATTGTGGCCATGCTGTTTTTTCTGGTTTCACAAATTCCTAAAGTGCGACCTTCCCTTTGTTGTATTGCAAATGAGTTTTTCAAACACCTTCTAGTTACAATGTTTTTAGTGTCTTACAACCCTTGAAAAACTTGAATAAATAACATTTTTGAACAAACAAAAAAAAGTACATAAATATGTCAAAGAAGTTACAGGCACCATAAACTATATGCGATAGTCTCTCAATCATGTTCATGTGGATCCTAGACTGAGACTGTACTCAACTGGTTGACATTAAGTTGGCACCTTGTGTCATCAGCAGTGGTGTTTAATAGGATGTTGACATAGGACAGGGAGTGAGGGAAATCCTCCCCAATACTGACAAAGACAGAAATACAAATCTTACAGAGAATCCAATTCTTCCCCATGCTATCTAAAAACACAACAAAAAGTTTTGGTTGGCATTTTATGAATGCGCTTGGCCACCTAATTCCAATGACTGGGATGCCTATTATTCATTCGCAACCATTTATACCAAAAAAAAGTTGGCTTGCTTGCTTGTATGGCTAAGTTTGATAGCTCATGCGATCGTGTGTCATTATCATGCACACAGAGCACACATCAATATTTATAACCTGGACATTATTAGCTCAATGATATGTGATGATCACGTACCATGGCGGAATGGCTCAATAAGGACATCTGACTGTTTACACAACTTCTTCAGCACACTGACTCCTCCCGGGCTCTTGAGATCCAACGCTATAGACCTTTTACCACGTGCCATAGTGTCACTTGCAACCGCACTTTTGGCTCTATCCACCCGGATCACTTTGGCCCCAAAATCAGCGAGTATCATTCCACAGAAGGGCGCAGGGGCCAGTCCTGCCAACTCCAACACCTTAATGCCAGCTAAAGCCATCACGTCACTATTAAAGAGAAAAATACAAAAAAAAAAAAGTTTATTGAAGGCCGTTTCATTTTGAAGTATAAAAGTGTGAAATTGATGTCTTCATTTTCATATTGCATCTCGTGAGGTGCATCGGATAAGGTAACATTACACAAAGGAAGCCGATAGGAAAAGCATAAGATGTCTTTGCTTCTTTAAAAACAAATATTTGCATTTTAGGGCTCATTCACACCAGCCCCCATGCTAAATCGGGTTTGGGCTGATGTGCATTGTGTTGGGATGGTAAGCAGTGGCGCTTTATATTGTTAAAACACACAGCACTCTACATTTTGTTCTTTTTTTTTTTACTTTATTGAAATGTCACATAATGTTGCTTTCGTGCATTGAGGGAAAAATGCATTTTTATGCAACCACCCCAACACAGCATTATAGGGTGAACAGGGCACAGAGAAAGCAATTGTTTTCTATGTGCTCTGGTGTCAAGCTTGCACTGATGTGTGCAGGTCAAGGCAGCTCGACTGATGTGCTGTGAATGAGCCCTAAGGGTTTTTGGAAGGCTAATTATTAAGTCCTGCCTGCAGTATGTATTAAGCCACATTTGGACATTAAGGACACATGTAGGAACACTCATTATCATTCCCGCATAATAAATGCATTATTTGGTATTATACAAAAAAAATCTAATAAATTGTAAAGCAGGATTAAGAATTAATAATGCAGCAATTGTTCCTTGTCAAAAAGAAACTACCATGAATAAAGGTCATTCTATACTAAAAGTGAAGATATCATCTGTAGCAGAACAAGAATAGTTTAAACATCAAATACAGTATTTATTTTAATTAATTAATTTGCCTAAATGTCTTCATTCATGTTCCTACTTCATAAAAAAAAATCCCCATCTAGAATTTTTTGTCAGTAAAAGCTATGGAACACCCAATTCCAAGGGACACATTTTTACCCACCATAATGAGAAAAAAGGTACCACTCACAAGCCCCAACGTTGCAAGGATCTTGTCCCATATCAAGATCCAGAAGACAAAAGAAAAAAAACCAGCTACACCTAGGCTTCTTCCAATGCACTGTAGATAAAAGATTTTATAGCATAGCACAAGGTACAACATAGAGCTGGAAAGCCTGGAAATCATTGTATCACAGTGACTATACACATTCATTAAACTCACAAAGCAGCCACCGCTCATATTTCTTGTCCTGGGGTCACACAGCCCCATCCCTCTTGTTGGTGCAGGCAAAAAAAGTGGGCACCCTGGAGCTTGATACTGGTTCTCACAGAAACAATTGCCGCACAAATGACTGGTATCACAAGCTGGTTCCTTAGACATAATTCCCTTGAAACAGACACATCATGAATATGAATGTAGGTCCACATAGTCCATCGTAAAGGTGTATAGCCACATACATTAACTTTGGCAAAATAGTCAATAATGGATGTGTATAGTGGTTCTTACAGAAACAATTGCCGCACAAACGACTGGTATCACAAGCTGGATACTGTTTATTCCCAAGGTCAAAACATGCTGTAAACACAACTCCAACTCTATGAATAAGCCATTTGGCGAAACATGTTAAGAGTTGTAGGAGCCTGTGTGTTTACAGCATGTTTTGACTTTGGGAATAAACAGTATCCAGCTTGTGATACCACTCGTTTGTGCGGCAATTGTTTCTGTAAGAATCACTGTACACATCCATTATTGACTATTTTGCCAAATTTTATGTATGTGGCTATACACATTTACTATTATTTACAGTACTATTTTGACCTAAATTCATAATGATGATGTGTCTTTTTTAAGGGAATTATGACTGAGGAACCTTACAAATTATATAGCATGGTCAAATAATGTACTACTTATTATAGACACGGAAATGGTACTTGCCTCCCTCAATTTTGCTCTGGCTTCAAAAAGTCAGTGAAATTAAAGATATGGAAGACTTTACTCAGTCTCTACAACACCGCAAGGAGCAGTTCAGTAGCACCTGGATTAACTGGAACAAATTCACATTTTCAAAAGAATGTGAAACCTTGCTGTGTTTAGACGTGGCCTGGATGGAAAAAGGGCTCCCCTTTTCCGTGTCCCTCTTCCTTCTCTCTTCCTTGACTTTTTTTTCTGTTTCCATTTCTTCCATCTTGCCTTTATCTTTCTAGGCTCCTATCTGCTCCTTCTAATTCTGTTTGCAATCTTCTCTAATTGCAATTTCATTAACAGAGTCATGACCCCCTGTTTAAATTACATGTCCCCAGTTATCTCAACATTACTTTCTTAGGGACACGACTCCTAGGTTCCCATACAGTTTTAGGGAAGATTTGTGTCCCAGTTCTCTGTTCTTGTTTTCTTTGTGATTTACATCCTTTGTACTGTTTGTAATGTTTGAAAAGTCTTTAAATAAATAATTTACAACAAAAAAATAATTTAGGAAAAATTGAGGCGCTTACAAAGCAATCTACCACAACATTGGGAGAGACATGATAATGATCAGAGGATACTTTAGTGCCAGGAGATTTGAAATCCCATCTTGGATGAGAGTAGCAGATTGTTTTATCAAAATCAGAGCAGTCTGTTATGTAGGAAATGCATCATATCTTGTGGACACCAATTCAATCTTATATCAAATGCCTTGTGCATAAAAACATCAGCCTAATTGCATAAATTAGGCACAATTTTCCAGTGTTTCCAAAGTCTGTTTAATAAAGTGCAAGCAGGCAGCACCAAGATAAAGTATAAAATGCTCTTCAAGCATGGAATGGATGACTTTGGAAATGTCAGAAATAACTCCAAGAAGATTTGAAAGACTAATACTCCCATAAAATCTCATTTAGAATTGTTCATAGTGGCTATACACCAGGGCTCAAAATTTTCACTCGCCCGCTCGCATTTGGCGAGTGGAAATAAAGAGAGGGCTAGTGGAAATTCAGTCAGGCACGCGGTCACGGATCGCGTACCTGACTTGGACTTGGATGAATTAGTAAGGTCTGCAGACCTTACTAATCCATCCTTTCGAACGGGGCTCAGAACTGCAGAGCTCTGGCCGAAAGGAACGGAGCCAGGACAGCAAGGAGTGGCTGCTATCATAAGTCAGGTATGCGGTCCCGGTCTGTACCTGACTTAATCACGAGGGATCAGATTCGTGCCTCCTCCCGGCATAACGGCAAGCAGGTGAGGGGGCTCTTTCTTTTATTTTATGTGGGCTGGGAAGGGGGGTGGTGACAGGGGGGGGAGAGTAGATTGTCATGTGTGTGGGGGGGGCAGAGAATGGGGGTGTATTGTTTTATATGTGGGGGGCAGAGAACAGGGGGGAGAGAGTGTATTATTTTATATGTACGAGGGCAGAGAACAGTGGGATATTATTTTATATGTGGGAGGCAGAGAACAGGGGTGAGGGTATTATTTTATATGTGGGGATGTGGAGGGGAGCAATGTTTACATTGCTTTATGTTAATATTGTTGTTGTTAATATTTATTTTTGTAACTTTATTCTGCCTTTAACATTTAAAAGTGTAATTTCATAAGATAATTTAAGAGGGTGGGTTTAGGGGCAGAGTTAAGGCCGAGGCAGGGTAGGGGTTAGGTGGGGCAACTGGTGGCGAGTAAGGGCACCTTAACTCTTAAGGCCTGGCTAGTAGCTCAGGACTTGAAATGTTGAGCCCTGCATTGATGATTGAGCATTTTACCAAATTTTAAATGATTACTTTACAAACTCCACTGAGATGCCTTAGCTATGTGGAAAATACTTTTTCCATTCCCAAATTTACATTGACGAGGGTGGTTGTTTCAAAGGAAGTACCAAAATATAGACAAGTACCATAAATAACACTTGGATTTCCTAAACAGTGTTATGGTGACACCCCCGACATATGACACAAGCTCACCCGAAGCGCGGAGTCAAACCACAAGCCAGTTTTCATCAGAGCTCCAGATGGTGTAGATGGGTTTAGCTGCTTGCTGGTATTAGGTCACAGCCCCCAGGATTGCCCTGCCAAAAGATAGCAATGGGTTTAGCTGCTTCCTGGTAACAAGTCGCGGGCCCCCAGGATTGCCCTGCCAAAAGATGGACAAGGACAGGAGGGCTCCAATGAGGAGACAGTAGTCCAAAATGTGGTGAGGACAAGGAAGAGGTTCCAACAGGGGATATCCAGAAAATGGTCGGACCGCCCGGGTCGGCAGCCAACGAAAATGTAGTCAGATCCAGGCAGAGGTCAAGGCAAGCAGCTAGCAGAGAGTGGTCGGGTTGTCCAAAGTCAGCAACGAGTAGTCAGTAGATAAGGCAGGAGAAGAGAGCTAAGTCGAGTCCAGGCAGAAGATCAGTGAGGACAGCAAAAGGAGAATGGTCAGACGGCCCGGGTCAGCAAACAAAACACAATAGTAGTATTAAAGCTCTTTGTACACGCAGGAAGCTGGATTGAAGACAAAGCACCAACCCCTTGCAGAGCTGATGCTTAAAATACCCCTCTGAGGCAACAAACCCAGCCTCACCTCAGAGAACTCTGGATGTTCTGGTCCGGAAACTGTGGCTATCATTAGCCATACTGACCGGGATTCTGTTAGAGCCATTAGAAGTAATGGCAGAGCTCGACTGAGCACCATTAGAGGTACTGGCAGGTCTTCTCGAAGTCCTGGCTGGTATCCTCCAAAATGATCTGTAAAACCCAGCATGGACTCTGAGCTTACCATAACAAAGAGAGTACATAATGAGCACTCATTTGCATGCTCCTGGTGCTTCACAGTCCAAGCAGCAGGTTGTGTCCTGTGCAAGTGTGTTAAAGTAGTTAAAGTAGTACTAAAGGCACTGCGGTTTTTACCTTATTGCATTCTCTGCATTAAGGAAAATAAATGCCTAGGTACCTTTCCAGCGCCCCACCTCCAAACACTTACCTATGGTCCCTGTTCACCATTGCCGGCTCCAAGACGATCTGTGCTGCTTCCCTCAAGTTCCGGGATGTAGGGGTGGGATCCCTAGGGCAATGAGATAAGGTGAGTGATAGGCTGCTGCCTGTCAAATTGC